TTACATTGGTAGGCGTTATAAAATAACAGGAAGAGTATATTTATGTCACACCTTTGTAAAAGGCAAAGATATTAATAGATTTTAAGCATTTTTCATAAAACATTTGTTAATTAGCAGTAGGAGTGCTTTTACATTATGTTTATTAGTATATTATGTTTTAATTATCACAAAGTTACTTTGGTTCTCTTCACTGTCGTAAATAAATAATAAATGATTCGCAGTACGATTTCGGTTTCGTAATGAAATGGTGCCAATGATGGCCACAACGGCTGCATCATTTTCTTACAACTAATATAATCAATCTTATAAGCTCGTAAACTAAAGACCACGCATAGTTCATGAAACGGCAAAAAGCATAATTCCATCTCCTCTATTATTTACAGTAAGGTCAATCTCAGGTGATATACATATTTAATTTTGTGTATGCTTTACGCCACAAAACCACAATAATTTTATGTAAGACAATAACGTCAGCCTTGACCACGGGACCCATAAACGGCCCGAAACTAAAAGTATACGCCATTTTAATCTGAAAAATAATTTCCTACGAGACAATAATTTCATTTGTACCAAAACCGTTACATTATTTGTATAGTGTGAGATATAAATGTTATTTTTGCAGCTGTGTAAAGGACACTAAATTGTAAAATACCGGTTTGTTCGTAATATTACCTCGCTACAGAATGAATGAGGAATTGTTAGATGTTTTTCACAGTCAGTAAAAATTACAGATCAAGAAACAAGTAAATTAGAACGGGTTTATTGAAAACGAAAACGATAATAAGCATTTATTGCACTTTCTAATGTTACTATTTTTTAAGTTTCTGCAGTTACCTTGACGCTACTCGGAAGGGACTTGCTATCGAGCAGCCTGTAGTGTCTTGACTTTTGTCTTTCTTTTATTTTCTCTTGTGTGCAGTAAATATGTATTTGTAGTATATTGTAAGAGTTTAGTGCTTTGCTTACACCTTTTGGGAGAAATTAAATAAAAATCTTTTTATTCGTATTCGGTGCTACGCCACAAAAGGAGCCGGCGGTCAAAAATTCATATTTCTAATTTCAAAAGTTGCGACTGGAATTTTTTCGGGTGCAGTATTTCTAACTTTATGCTTTGCCAATGGAAACAGTAAAAGTCTGTAGAATGATGGTCAGTGTTACGACCTCCGTGCAATATTTCACCTGTGGTAAAGCACGATGAACATTATTATCACACTCAGATGTTATATATGACGTTAGCCGTTCCAGGCTAGGCTCAATATTTGACTATGGAGTTAGACGATAAGGAATCATTCTTTATAAACGTTTTTTCAATATCTTTGGGTCCCGGCAACTTAAACTTCTTCTAACGTTTGGAAAAATATACAGAAATCTTGGAAAATAAACAAAGTTTTCTGCTCACGGATATCAAATCTTTCACCCGTAAGTAGTTTTACAATACTCATCGGTCTCTATTATTAATACCAATCCGACGGCCCAAGTCAATTTGTCGCAGAAGAAAATACGGCTAGATCATGTAGTGTAAAAGTCACTGTATGCTCTGAATAGACATTCCCGGTCGATGATGAACCAAGTGCAGTAATACTGTAGGTACATCCTGCGATCTCATAATCGACTTTGCAACGCCACGGCCAGTGATTCAAAATTCCTTTGTCTCGCGCAAAAGGCGAATAGAGACAGCTCATGGAGACGTACGGAGATTATTCGTAATCAATTGCAGATTACGCCGAACCCTTTTGAAAAGGTTGCGTATCCGGCGTCATATATTAATAAGAAGTAGAAGTTGCACACCACGTGAACCGTCATGTCCAACTCGTTTGAAGAGGCGACAATTTTAATTGCGGGTAAACGATCACAGAGAATAATTTAACGCTTAATGCTTTCGTAATTTATCCTCTTTATTTTATGATGGTCACAGAAATGTACTGCAAAAATATGTAATTGAAATGAACAAGATGTTGTTCAAAGTGACCACAATAATTACAACAACAATTTTAAGTAGTGGGTATAATCATGTTGTAGTTCATTCTATCAAAAATCTTCACACATTTAGGAAGTAAATCGACTAAAAATCCTCCCACCGAGAATAGTTTAAGTTCGGCCTTAGTCGGCGGTGATTTATCCTTAGCAGACAAGTACACGGGCCCATTGCGATCCAAGCCATTGTGATCCAACAAATTACTGCTAAACTAAGTTTAAGTACTCCTGTTTATGGTTTGTTACTGTACATTTTGCTCTTAATTATTTTACGGTTTATATTGAACTGCTCGAGTCCTTGCGCAGTTAGTTGACTTTCAAATACCCCAGACAAGAAACAATGTGGTTTTATGCGTAATTAATATTACGGCGAAGAACAACACAACAAAATTTTCGGAGGGAATTTTCAAATTTATGGAATTACGAAATTCGTGTACAATATTATTATTATTAGTAGCAGTAGAGCTCCTTGTGAAAGAGATTTTTTTGGGAAGTTCTGTCACCTTACCTTTGCGTTCCGGCTATGAAGGGTAAGGGTGCTGGTGAAATTACAGGCACACGGGACTTGTCAACAAATATCTCAGGGTGACGGGCGCAGTGCCCCTCAGATCTTTGTGATTTAAAACACTGAGTGGTAAGTACTGCAACTGTTATGGACAGGCTTGTCACTTACCACCAGGTGGGCGGCGCCCTGTCCGTTTCGTCAGAGGGTCTCAAAAAAAATTTTGTTGATTTTGAAGAGAAAATGTGTTCAACACAGCTCGATTGTAACACACTCTCTTAAACAGGCCAAGGCGAACTCAATAAATATTAAATTATTACCGAAAACGAGAAATACACAGAAGCTCAGCGAGCCTGAGTTTTAAGCTTTTCAACACACGAGGCCAGCAAACGCCTTTTCCGCCGGGGGATATACTGTAATTAAAGTAAAACTCTCCGACAATGCAAAGAAACACAAACTTCATACTTAGCAATATTCAAACTACAGCACTTTGGACTCCAGACGGTATATCTATAGAAATTTAAACTATTTTCTCTTATCTAAATCGCGTGTATTTGTTTTTTCCATGTTTTTTCAAATAAACCAACGTTTGGGGCCCTTTACAGTATATAGTCCCATGGTCACGGCACTCTGAGATGGTAAAGTCTTCTACCAGTTACGTCTAATATGAATGCAAACCACCCTACTTTTCACTGTTGTTACAAAAGTTAGATCGAATCATTTCAACAGGGAAGATAGTTTCTCCATACCACCAGTTTGGATCCAGTATTTCCTCTAATGAAAAATCCCAAGCAAACATAAGACTGCACTACTAATTAATATGTTTTAATTTATTGTAATTGACATTATTAATTAATGAATAATTTATATTCTTAAAATAAAATAATTTCTAAAACCTACGTAGCGTAAATTGGAATGTTCTTAGAGGAAAATTTAAAAATAAGGTAAATAATTAATATTATGTAACAATAGTGAAAAATACGGTGGTTTATATTCGTATTAGACTGGTTGATCACTTTACCATTTCAGAGAGCAGTGACCATGGGACTATATATATATATAACTGTAAAGAGCACCAAACGTCCGTTTGTTTGGAGAAAAACAAACACACGCACAAACAAATACACATTTAGGTCCGAACAACTAACTAGTTTCATTTCCTGTCCTGCAACAATCGCGAAAACCTAAGAACTCGATATTTAGACGGTGTCGTTAGTCGGTACATAGTTTAAGATAAAATTTATATTAAAACATGGTTTTCGCATAAATAATTTAAGAACTTGACATGGAAATAACATAATTTGAATGATTTGATTTGCTCTGAGATCAGTAATGTACAACAGATTGGTCAGATATGTACTCTTATTTGTCCCTCTTGTATTTATATTATTACAGATTAAGTAACCTATCGACTAGTTGAAGAATGAAGAGAAACTGTCGCGAGTGCGTTCGTTCCTGAAACAGCCGAGTCATCGGCGTATGTTTCCCGTCGGCCGATGGCATAACGCAATGACTTCGCAAATGGCCAATATCGTCTCGCCGACTACAGATCGATGATGGAACGACACGATGACTTTCCGATTACTTCTTATAACATTATTATCAGTAACTATTGCACGCGACTTTGTCCGCTACAAATCGGTGTTAAAATATATTGTCAATCTTTATTTTATTTTCTTTTATATGGTACAACAACGGATAACAGACTATAAATAATACTTAGAACTACTACATAATATGTAACATTATAAATCTGACATCCAATTATAATTGTACACACAGTACACAGCATTCAAATTACTAAATTCTAAGTAGTACGTCTCACTGGTTATGGCCTTCAACCCGTGTTGTGATTTTGTGCTGTAACCTCACAATCAGAGTAAATAATTTTCATTGTAGTCAAAAGGAAAGTGATTCATAACCCGGCAGTTTGAAGAGTTACATGTTTAGGTGTGCACTACGAAAGACTAAAGTGGAGCTTTCAATAATGATAAAATTTAAACATAATTAAAGCCAATTCCTGTGACAGACAGATCGACTAAAGATTTTTCTCGTTAATATGTAGCTTCGAATTACGTCTATAAATATTTGTTATGGATAGAATCCCGTATTATCTAATCAGGACATAAAGTCACACACGTGCCCGTGACTGGGCTGGAGCAAACGTAGACAAACTATTCCGTTAACACATTTTTCCTTGTAATAAGTATTAGGGTTCCGTCTTTGTGGTCACAAAAGTATATTTTTCTTTATCTTGGAAAAGTTCTGCAACTCCCGCGGGTCAACTTATCTCAGTGCTTAAGTTATACGTCCCGATCCGTCCTCATCGCGCCCACAAATTCGGGATGATTTATAAAACTGTATCCTTAGCAGATAACAAAATCGTGAAACGAAACAATTGTATTATACTGACAACTGTTAGATACATTTACACGTTATGAATATTCAGCACTAAAGAGGTGTAAACTGTACTGTTCACTAACAAATAACTGTGCATTTATTAAAATTGATTGAAAACACTCACCGCTAAAGAAACTCGGTGCGTAGGGATAAAAGAGCTGAACTGAACAGACGCCCGTCCACTAGAGCTGTCGAACGATTACTGAGGGTGCGCGTCCTATCCCCTCCATCTTATCCCTCCCCTCACCCCGGAGACATGTTTGTTGCTGCGCTCGGGATCCAATCGCGTAACTTTGAGATTATTGGAACGATTTCGCAGCATCATACATTTCTCACAACGTATTTGATACTTCGGAACAACGTCAAACTTGACAAGGAATGCATTATACAAAAATCTGTTTTGTCCTTTTGAAGTGTAGTATAACGAATGAGGGTCCGTATTAGAATTCCTGATTGAGACACTGCGTTGGGGATGTTTTAATTTTGAAGGGCTTAAACTCGTCATGTTTGCGAATGGAAACAAAAGGACGTAAACACTTTCAGAGACGTTTGTCTTACTATTTAACTCTTCTGTACAAAATATGAGTGGGCGCATTTTTAACGTTCCGTTTAAAGGAATTGTGAATATGGTGGTTAGGAAGTAGGTGCTTACTTCCTTAGTATCGCAAATGTCATACACGGCGGCTACCACTACCAATCAGGTAAACCTTCGGGTTGTGTGTGGGTTAACTGTTGAATAAACTATCTCATAAGTGCAATTACGTGACTAAAAAAATGGAAAAAATATACTGTCTGGAAATACTTGCCTGTCGTTTGGAACTCATATAGATTTTTTATGTGTATGTACAAGTTGTGGACATAGTAGGAAGCGACACGCCTGTCCATAACAGGTGCAGTGCCGCTAAGAACTTTAAATTGCAAAGATCTGAGGTCACTGCCACTGCGCCCGTCACCCTAAGGCATAAGTAAAAAGTCCCATATGCCTGTAATTTCAAATTGCAACACTCTCACCCCTTGAAACCAAAAAGCAATATGCTCACATTACTCCTTGGCGGCAGAAGTGGGTAAGGCGGCTGTGCTTCCTTGGACAAATTCTTTCACAAGTATGTATCAAAAGGTGTAGCATAAAATGCCGACATTGAACGAGAGCGTAGCGCTCTAGCGGTACGCAGTAATATTCCATAGGTTAGCCCGGTGTACAGAAGAAGCAGAAATAACGCTTTTTAAAGCTTACTGCCAAAGTTTCCGCACCTATAGGGTCAACTACTCCAAACAGCTGCTGGAGACCCTTCATGTACAATACAATAATATTTTTAGGCTGATGTTGGGACTGCCTCGTTTCTGCAGTGCAACGGGGATAGCTTCAGAATATAAGACGGATGGTTTTGCTGCCATCCTCTGGTAAAGGACAGCATAATGCGCAGAGTGCGGGACTGCCCCAACAGCATCCTACAAACTGTAGCTGGTGGGATTACCTCTCCCATGAGGAAATGCTTCGTGAAAAAGGTAATTTGAATGATCAAAATATAAAATATCTACTAACACTAATTTACGAGCTCTTTTTTATTATTACTAACTATTATGCAACTTGGAGCCTGAAACAAAAGAATTTTATTATTTATTATTATTACGATTAGTTATTATTCTAAGAACAACGAAAGCAGGGCTAAGAGCGCGCCGTGAAAGAACCAGCCTTCGCTGAACAACCGCCGTACTGACCTCACATTCGTCACGATCCTCACAATCGTATGTATTAGTGCCGCCTACTCCCAATAGCGTATTGAGTAGCCATAGTAACAGGTATGGATAAGTCTGCTTATTACTATTTACCGTACACTTACGACTGAGGTAATATCATGGGCCTCATCGCCTAATTTGTGTTGAGTTGTTTCTGTAATCGCCCATGAATGGTATGCGGCTGAACTATTGCAACTGTTACCTTTAGTGTTTTTTTTATTATTAATTACCATATATTGGGATGTCCTTAAAGAAGAGGACAAAAGGTTGTCACTTTTTTTCACTTTAATACATTATTTCGAGACATGGGATTCACAAAACTGACAATTATTACAGTGAAATATTTACTACCACACCTGTAGTAGTGAATTCTAGCTTCGTACTACTCTACTATATCACGTTTTCTCCATACAAAACACGAGGAAGATATGAATGCCCCGTAGCAGTATATAAGCCACACTTTCCACTTCATCTGCATCACACCAGCTGTAGCGAGCTACAAGGGGTTGTGACCAATCAGCGACACAACTTCTGAGACCCAGAAATTAATAAAATTTACGAAGAATTTCGTTCGGAGTCGGAAGTTGTCTGGAACATTTTGGATTCATTGTCTTTTATAGAGCATTTACAAAACTGCTACCCAAAATAATGGCTTCAGTAATCATACGTGCCTTCGCTGTTTTGCCTCTTCTCATGTTGATGGTAAGAGAAGACACCATGCCGGACCAAAGTTAGTGCTTGAAGCATATCTGATTTTTATTATTGCTTCAGGTCTCATCGGGTGTGGAGAGTCGTCCTTTCTTCTTCGACTTGTTGAACGGAGTCAACGCTTCGTAAGTTATTAACCTGTCTGCTGGAAATACAAGTACTGGCCAAACTGCCACGTTAAGGCAGATCTCACAATATATGATTTTAACGTAATGACTAACAACACAACATGCATAAATCGCCATTCTGCAGTGCGACAGATGTGTGTGACGCTGCAAGGGACAACATGCAAGTCAAAACGACGTTAAAATTGTAGTGTCGCCAACACGCGTCACCGGTTAATTAAAAATTAAATGTTGTTTTTTCAGCGAACTGGCCAACACTACGTCGCTATTCGAGGCGCTTCTGCTATCGCACGCGCAACACACGCTTTCTTCATTCCAACAGTTTGCGGACCTCGGATCCTCCCGTAAGCAATCTTTGCCTTCACACCCCAAATTCACCAAAATAAGAAACTTTTGTCCATATTCATTTTGATAAGAGATTTGGTCTGTAGAAACAACTTAACGTAACAAGAAATAGCTATCCACAGAGAGGAATTTTTGAAAGTAGCATAATAGCCTTTGTTCATATTATTTCTGGACTGTCTGTTTTGTTTGCAGTGTTCTTGGGCTAGACAGACGTTAGAAGAGTTTCATTATCTTCAAGTGCCATAATATTGCCAAAAATTATTATTGTGTTACTGATACGTAGAAGTGCCAAAATTGGCTATATGTACATGTGACTGATCCATTCATGTTGTTCTGTTATAAAAATGTTAAAATAAATTGCATCAATAACCTAAATAAAACGTGTTTTGTCTTTATTAGCAACCTAGAGCTACATGTCACTGCTATGTAGTGGGACGGCTATTTTATTTAGGTACGTGCAAAGGTAACGCAGCCCACAGAGAATTCAATAATAACTACCGGTCACCTTATAGCGCCTTTATCTTACATTAGTAGCTTTACCTTTTTGTGGCTACTTGGAATATGCCACTCAAAGCAGAATTTTAAACATTTTGGTAGATTGTATATGGCAGAAAGTTAACCTTTTAACTTTAAAATTTTTCTATTTAATACTCCACGAGGTCAATATCCAAATACCATTTTTCCTGTAGAAATCAAACAAGTAACATATTCATGACACAATATTAACGCTAATCTAACCCATACACATCCACATCCTGGAATTCGCGATAGCACGCAATTACTCTCAGGCAATCACCAATCAACGACGCTATCGCTAAATAATAAACCAACTATTATACAAATGTTGATTTGTTATGGGCGAATTATTAACAAATCAAAGCCTTAATATAGACCACTAGAGTCCACAGACGCGCATGCTCATGCTAGCTCATGAATTTTAATATAGCGCACAGTCCAATACTTTGCATACGCTAGCCTTTGAACTGCAGACGCGATCAATGATATGATGCCACATATGTTGAAATTGGTTAAATACCTAGTTCCGAAACTGCACGGTAACACATGAACACGCGTACATACGTTGCTACATTCGTTTAGCGCTCGTTGTGGCTTCGACGCAATCGGGTAAAAAGGAACGCGTAACAAACGAATAACCGCATTTGGCTAGCAGGGAATGTATCGGATATATTATTGACATATCTTTAGAAACGACACAGCAATATGGGCTGAATACAATACGGTAGAGAATGATTCATTCCTATAAGACTCGCAGCCAACAACTCCCAGGCGGAAGTTAGGAAATTATGCATTGAATATTGTGTTACAGTCTATGATACGTTCGGCGTAATGAACGTATTTAATCACGTAATTTACTACTAACGCGCCCACATCAATTGGAGGGCTGGCATTAATTCAAAATTAGAGCTAAACCTAACTGAACCTAACGCTGACTAAGTGCTCGCCGTGACGTCATCGTTCAGGATCACCAGCGTTTGCCCGACGGGCATTCATCGACGTGAGGCTTCGGGGTTATTTAGACACATTTAATGATGAGTTTCAAAAGAGTTATGCTGTAACAACTTATACACATTCCAGGGCTGGGCACGAATCACCTCCAAGGCGGAAGTTTACTCTTTTATTATTGAGGACGCTGAAAACTGTCGAAGAGTTTTGTTAACCTTCTCCAATAATGGATGTTGTGGCATAACATTTGGACATTTAGCATAGAGCAAATGTTTCACACATTTTAAAAGTGCACAGGACGCAATCGAAATTAATTAATTACCCACCACTTTCGCACATTTTGCAGCTGAGTCATTTTTACGCGGCATTTTGATGGAACATTGCCCAAACTCATGCTCTTCTATGGCATCGCGTTTTAATATGGATTTAAACTGGATTTATTCATCTCATCCCCAAAACAAACCGTTCACTATATCTACATCCAATTACGAGTGTCAGTACGCTTGTCTGCGAGGGGCTGCGAGAGGGAGAGTTTGTTGACGAAAAATCAAACGGAAAATTTAATCGAAACGAGACACACTGATGTGTGACATGGCGAACACATTGTTATTACAAAGAAATTGTAGTGCGCAAGGACATAATGTACAGGGCGAACCGCAGCAGTTCATTTTCACGTGCGATCTCCCACTAATGAGAACAACATGTCTGCTTCGTGTGACAACGTGTGGACCCTGTGTGTCGCTCCATCAACGAATGCGTATTGAGTGGAGCC